ACAACACACACCACACACAAGACACAATATACAACACACACTCTACACAATACAATACATACACCACACTACACACACCACACACTCCACACAATACACAACACACAACACACAAACCACACACGACACACACACCACACAGCACACACAACACACGACACACACACCACACACCACACAAACGACACACACAACACAATACACACCACATACACCACACACACTAGACACACCACAACACACATCACAGATGACACACACACCACACAATACACACCACATACACCACACACCACACACCACACACAATACACAACACACACTCCACACAATATACTCCACACACCACATACAACACACACAACACAACACACAATGCACACCACATACACTGCACACAACACACACCACACACAAGACACAATATACAACACACACTCTACACAATGCAGTACATACACCACACCACACACACCACACACTCCACACAATACACAACACACACCACACATGACACACACCGCACACACGACACACACCACACACTCCACGCATACCACATATACCACACACACCACACACACTACACACAACACACGACACACACACCACACAATGCACACCACATACACTGCACACAGCATGCAACACACACTCCACACAATACACTACACACACCACACATATGACACACACACTACACAATGCACACCACATACACTACACAAACCACATACCACACACAGCACACATACCACACACACCACACACACCACACATACCACACACAGCACACATACCACACACACCACACACAGCACACACACCACACACAGCACACACAGCACACACAGCACACACACCACACACAGCACACACACCACACACACCACACATACCACACACACCACACACACCACACACAGCACACACACCACACACAGCACACACACCACACACACCACACATACCACACACACCACACACACCACACACAGCATACATACCACACACACCACACACACAGCACACATACCACACACAGCACACACACCACACACAGCACACACCACACACACACCACACACACCACACACACCACACACCACACCACACACACCACACACACCACACATACCACACACACACCACACACACACACCACACACACCACACACACCACACACACCACACATACTACACACACAGCACACACAGCACACACACCACACACACCACACACAGAAGTCTGGTCTGGACGGAGTCCGTTTTCTCCATTCCTCTAAGTGCTGGAGGGTGAGGTCTCGGCCGCCTTCCGTGCACCCCCCTTGACATCTGCTTAGGGCCTCGCTGTCGTGGGAGCCCCATCAGCCTTCCTGGGGCATCGGGCCCTGCACCTTCTCCTGTGGAAGCTGTGAGGGTTTCTGCCCCTTTGGGTGGGGCTGGTGAGAGTGGTTTCCAGGATCCCTGGATGGCAGTGTTGGGCGGCTCTGCGAGTCACTGGGGAGGACACTGTGAGCTGCTCAGGGCAACAGCCCGTGCCAAGGCCCCACGGCCCTGCGTAGGTCCCACAAGGGCCAGGTGTTCTGGAGGACGGGCATCAGGCGGGCCCCATCCACTTGCCATCCAACCCTGGATCCCACGACCTCACCCACGGTGGGGGAGTAACTAAGGGAGTGGAGCACAGGCAGAGCACGGGCACAGGCAGCCACACTCGCTGGGCACCCAGCTCGAGGTTGGCCCTGCCGGGCCCACGGCCTCACCACTGAGACCTCGTTCCCTGAAGCTCGTGTGGCCCTGACGGGGCCCCAGCTCTCTGGGCCTGTCAGGCACTGGGGGTGTTTCTCTGAGGCCAGTGGCCCCACGTCCCTGCCCAGAGACCGTGGGACCCCTGCGGCCCCACAGGTGCCTCGAGTCCGACGTGGCCCGTGGCTTCGGAAGGTCTCTGTGCAGCCACGTGCAGCCTGTGAGCTGAGGCTGTCTTCCGGGCCGCCCCTCCTGGACCGCGGTGGGACCTGCCCAGGACACCAGTCCACACCTCCTCCATGCAAATGTCTCAGGCCACACCTGCAGGGGATGGGGTGAAGTTCAGAGGACCCTGTCCCATCCCCCCACTCTCTGCTCACCCGAACCCTCCAGACTTGGGTTAATTTTGGGAGAAGGGTGAGGACTGGCACAAGGGTGGGTGAGTGGAGAGACTTGGGGGCCACCAGCCCGGCCTTCTTTTCTGGCTGCCTGGGCATCTGCCACAGGAACTAGGTCTAGTTACAGGAAAACCAACCAAGTCCCAGGTTTTAGGCCCCTGAACTTGGAGGACTGTGGGATTGTGCACCTGCCACTCAGGGGCCAACGTGGCGGCGCTGGTTTCTTAAACACGCCTCTCTTCTGCGGGCGGTACCTGCCTGCTGTCATCCTCCCGACAGCCACGTCGAGCCCAGACAAGCTGAAGCCAGACCCTCGCCCTGCTGCTGGCCGAGCTGTGAGCTGCACACACGACCCCACCTCAGAGCTGCTGGCTCCGTCCCACGGCCACAGTGGGGCCCTACCAGGCCCTCGCCTCAGGATGCCTGTTTTTTCTGCTGTCTGAGCAGCCTTGCCTCCCTGGGCATGCCTGGTTAGCAGGGGCTGGGGTGCAGCCCCCTGGACACGTGGGGCCGAGGGTGACACTCAGAGGGGTCGCTTCCCGACACAGTGGGCACAGGCGACCTGTTCCCACCTTGGTTTTCCCCTGGTTGTCTCCTTTCCTGATGCGTGAGCTGGTGGTGCTGACGCCCCGGTGAGCAGGAAAAGCTCCTCCTCATTCTGCAGCAGAGCCACACCCCATGCTGAGCATCCCTGACGCCCACCCGCCGGTCCCAGGAGCCAGCGCCTGCGGATGCATTGGTTACAGAGGTAGGGGTTTGCCTAGGGCCACAGGTGCTTGGGCTGTCTGCTTGTGAAGTGCTCTGTCTGAAACCAAGACCTGGAATTTCTATTTTTGCTGCCACAGAAGCTGCATCCACAGCGGCTTGTTTGGAAAATCCAACTCATTTTCCAGCTGGATCTAAATATCTGTGTGTGTTTGGACAGGGCCCTGGAATTTCTAATGGAAAGCCACAGCCAGATCTGTTTCTGTGGCCACTCCACAGGGAGTTACATGTCACCAGAGCCTCGGCGTCTGCTAGAAGATGTGTGTTGGATTTTTTTTTTGCCACTTTTGGGGACCTCTTGTCTCCCTCTATGCTCTGTCTCCCTCTCTATCTTCTGTCCTCTGTCTCCCTCTCTGTCCTCTTGTCTCCCTCTCTTTCTCTGTCCCCCTCTCTATCTCTCTTTCTCTGTCTCCCTCTCTGTCTCTGTCTCCCTCTCTATCTCTCTCTTCTCCCTCTCTCTCTTCTTCTCTGTCTCCCTCTCTGTCTCCTCTCTTCTCTCTCTGTCTCCCTCTCTATCTCTCTGTCCCCCTCTGTTCCTCTCTGTCTCTGTCTTCCTGTCTTTGTCTCCCTCTCTATCTCTCTTTACACCCAGCACACCTGGATTCGAACCCAGACCCAGCCTCTTGCCAGCTGTGTGACCTGGGTGGGGCCAACAGTGCCTGTCAAGCCTGTCAGTGCCTGCTGGGTTCCCAGTGCAGGGCTGGACAATGGCAGAGGCTGCCAGCTCTACCCACTGCCTGTGCACCCCCCAGACTGCTGTGGGGCCGAGGGGAGGCGCGGTGGCCCCAGCTGTGTCTCTGGGGGCAGCTCCCCCAGCGCTGGGCTGACTCTGGACTCAGCCCAGAAGGCAGGGGGTGCACGTTGTCTTCAGCACCTAGAACAGCTCCCGCCTGGATCCACCAGGCTTTGCTGAGAGGAGGATGGTCTTGGGAAGGGAGTCCCTGGGGTCACTGCACCAGGTCCCTTGTCCTAAGGAGGGGGATGAGCCGTTTCCCCAGGTCATGGGGGGAGTGAGCATGGCGCTTCCTGCCACTGCCTTTGCCCTGTGCAGCCTGGGTGGCCTCAGACGGAGCCTTCCCGGGTGGGTGCTGTGGCTCTGCCTCTCCCTGAGTGCCTCCTCCTTGGCTGACCCTGTCATTCACAATCTGAAGCCATTGCCAACAATAACCAATCTGGGTGGTACCGGGCAGGACTGCGTGGTGTCTGGGGGTTTCCTGGATGACTGTGGAATTGTCAGGGCTGGCCAGGGCCACAGACAGGAACCCACAGCTGCCTGTGCCAGGGTGGAGGGCCTGAGGGGGTGGACAGCGCAAGGCTAATCCTGGGCTTGTCAGGAGATGTGGATGGGATGCATTGCTGTAGAGGAAGGCTCGGAACAAGCTGCCCTCTGGCGGGATCAGTGCAGGGCAGGCGTGTTCCCGTCTGGCAGAACCTCGCGGTATAAAAAGCCGGCTGAACAGGAATCAAGTGATTTTGGGCAGGGATGGAGATGTGAGGGATGGAAAGGGGATCTTTAGCTTCAATCTGTCATCTCCCATCAAGATGAGAGTCTGAACCTGTGTGTGTAGCTGGGTCTGCGACAAGCAATGGTATTACCTGCTGTAACGATGATCACCTGTGGCACTCTGGTATCTTCTCTGGGGGTGAGTCCCGATTTCACCTGCTACAACAATGTAACGATGATCACCTGTGGCGCTCTGGTATCTTCTCTGGGGGTGAGTCCCGATTTCACCTGCTACAACAATGTAACGATGATCACCTGTGGCACTCTGGTATCTTCTCTGGGGGTGAGTCCCGATTTCACCTGCTACAACAATGTAACGATGATCACCTGTGGCACTCTGGTATCTTCTCTGGGGGTGAGTCCCGATTTCACCTGCTGTAACGATATGACGATGATCACCTGTGGTGCCGTGGCATCTTCTCTTTGGGGCTGAGTCCCGATTTCACTCAGCTGCCTCAAGAACCTGACATTAGGTTTTTGTTGATCTTTTTCTAGCTGGGGCAGGGCCTCTGCTGACCCATAGAGAAATACCCACAAATGCTCACTCCTGGCCACTGGAGTTGAAGAAAGAAGAAAGAAACACGAAAAGCAGCTCAACAAAGACAGGTTTATTTTGGAGAATAAACCCGAGAGGGCCTTCTGGCCTATTTAGGTCCAGAGTGTCCTCTCTTACAGACTAAGGGTATTTGAGGGTTCAGGGAGGGAGAGCTTGTCGCAGGTTCGGAGTGTTTTGGGGTGGGGGGATTTTTATGGCTGGGTTGGAAGGTTTCGGGTCAGAGGGGAGTCTGTCTTGGGGTTGGCATGTTTCTGGCCAAAGGTGTCATTTGTGGTTTATGGTCACACTGATATTAGACATTAGGTTGATGTTTTGGGGGCTGGATTTTTGGGGGCTTTTAATCAAGGAGAACTTCAAATGGTGGTGTGTGTCCAAGACGGCGACGTTCCTGCTCTGTCAATCCAGACTCTATAGTTGAAAAGGGTGAGGTGTGGCATGTTCTTTCTGGCTACTTCCTGCTGAGAGAGAGTCGTCCTTACAGGCCACTGAACGCAGCGTCTGTGGATACATCTAGGAGTGGAAGAGGTGGATTTGTTCCTGGAAACACTCTCTGTTTTAGGGGCTTAGAGGCAGCGTCTGCGGATGCATCTGTCTTCAGCTTACAGGGCTGAAAGCACAGCTTAGGTTTCAGTGATTTCCAGTTAGAAAAGTGGGGAAAAAGGAAAAATTGAAAACATTATTTTGGAGACTTGTAGCCAGAAAAATTAGACTTTAAATTGTAGAAAATCATAACAATTGAAAAACATCAGACAAGACTGGAATTTAACAACAGGTGTGCTATAGTTTTTGAAACATAGTTTTCTCTCTCCAGTTTTCCATTTTTTTAAAAGACACATGATGGGACTGGTTTACTTTATTATACTTGGCTTGATTATTTGTATACAGTGCAGCAAGAATAATTATTTTTTCACTAGGCCTTTTAAATTGTCTTTGATGGAACTTTGTTTTGTAGAAGGAGCCTGGGATAAGACTTTTTAAAGCTGAGCCCAGCCATGGAATTGTACCATTAAATACCTATGAGTTGGGTGAATTCCTCTCCTGTTGAGGTTCCTGGCCTGTCAGAAACTGACATTTTTTACTTACTACAGATCAGAACGCCTGTGCAGGGACTGTGTACGCAGAACAGGAGGCCAGTTTCCAAGAGCTTTATTGGCTTCATAAGTCAAGTTTGGTTCCTTAAAGGAAAGCACACAAAAAGTCTTATTTTACCAAGACTTTGACCATTCCAGTCAAAGTCTTGGTAAAATAACCAGTTTCTCCAGTTGTGTCCTGTTACGAAACAGATTCTTATTGCACTTATGCAAATAGCTGTATTGCCATAACTTAAGAATAGTCACAAATAGTTTCCAAATTCTAGAGAAAATCAGGTAGAGAGAAACAAGCTCCAAATTTTGTTCATGGGAGTATACTAAATTGTTAAAAGCTGTCAATAGCTCAGAAGAAGTTTCCTTGATTCTGAAAAGCAAGACAAAGGATTAGCAACATTTTAAGCAAAGCGTCTAAAAGATCACTGCAGTCTCCTATTGGTTCAGTTCATGCAGTTAATTCCTGTCCTGCTTGGTATTAATGAACATATTAGCTCTTCAAGAGTCCTGAACGTTTTTCCTCTATTCTGATGTCACACTCTTCAAAGTTATCAGAAACCTGCATTCAGGAGCACCTGTTAGAGCTTCATAGCTGATTATAAAACCATCTTCTAAAGAGGACCAAGACGAGACAACAATTGTTCATGGATGACAAAATGTTTTAGGGTAGCCATAAGGACACAATTGACAAGGAAATCTGTTACCTCATGGCACACAATAATTTTAACATAACAATGATAATTACTACTGATAATGTACACTAAAATTTATGAGAATTATGAGTCTCCCATAACTTTGGAACACATACCAATAACATATTTATACAAATATAGCCCAAAGAAAGCCAAACACCATTGCATATTTGACATTGATGAGCTTCTGACAGCCACATGGTGGCTGCAGCTCGCCCCCAGCCCACACACCGTGGCCCCTGCCCCACCTCAGCGGGCCCCAGTCCCACCGATGTGCAGCCCCCAGCACCTTCCTCCCCTCGCCTTGAGGAAATTCTGTTTATTCTTCCAGGACTGGTTCAGCCCTTCTTTCTCAGGGTGCAGTGAGGCCTTCCTCATGTGCACACCCAGAGCCCTGGTTTACGCTTTGCTACGGTGGCCGTCAGACGGGGTCAGCTGCTCAAGGGGGAACCTGCCTTACCTGTCTGTTCCTGCAGCACACCGGGCAGCCGCGCCGTGCGATGGGCTCTGTCATGTTTAGTCAATCGAACCAGAGCAATTAGGCAGAAGAGGAGATTTTTAAATTGCCACAGCCTGTAGAGTGTCCAAATAGAAACAAGCGGTTGGTTCAGACTCAGGCTAATGCAGCCATGGTTTTCTGCACAGCTTCCTTCTGGGAGCACCTCAACTTTCTTTTAGGCAATCGGCGATAAAATGCCAGAAACGCGGGACGCGGGAAGGGAGGGTATGCGCCTGTTTTGTCACGTCTGCGCCTGCAGCACCGGGCTGCGTATCCCGTGGGGACGCTGGAGCATCCGTGACGCTCGTGAATAAGTCAGTGAGCCCAGCACTTCCCTTTCCAGAGGGGGAATGAGGGACCACTAGGGGCAAGTCCAGCCCAGCAGTTCAGAGAATCCTCCGGAAGAACTCAGCATGCCAGCTCTGTTCTGCTCTGCTCTGCCTGGGGAGGTGGCAGGGGGCGTACGAGAGCTAGGGCTCCATTCAAGGCCACTCCGAGAACCCATGTGCTGCCCTTGGGTCTGGTGGCCACATCCCCTTCCGCCCCCTCACACAGCCACTGGGGGCCAGAGCTCAGGGGAGTCAGCCAGCTTCATACTAACTGCCCAGGCTTTGTTCAGACCTGCCTCTTCTCGTAAACCTAAAATATGTATTTTGGAAGTGCACGTGCTTGATGTCTGAGCTCTTAGAACGTCTCGTCTGATCTGCTGTGGCAGGTTTCCTTAGAAGAAAGGTGCCAGAAGGTGCAAGAACCGTCTCTTTCTAACTCACGGGGGGACCATGCCGGCCTGGGACCCGCCCGAGGATGTACTGACTTTCGTGGAGTCGCTCTCTGGCCCGCTGCCCCAGCCCTGCTGCCTCATCACTCATGTTTAATGCAAGGCGCCTTTTGTGACTGTCTAGCGTGGGCTCACCAGGAAGCCACCGATTGACAGCTCTTCCTCTGCTGAAGGATAAACACACCCAGATTCGCAGTGAGGGTGCCCACTGTTTAAAAAAAAAAGCTGCACTTTCCTCCGCAAAAGGGCTTGGCCAGCAGCATGGGGCGCCCTGGACCGGCTCTGATGGGGCTTCCTGGGAGGACCCCCAGCAGGCCTGTGGTGTGGAGGGTCAGAAGTGGGGGGGCAGGTGGCCACCACTGGCCCATGGCTTGAAAGGTTTGGACCTGCCAGCCCCTACCTGCCACCTTCTGCTGCTGTGGGGCCTGCTGGGAACGCGTCCCACCTGTGAATCCAGTGGGTAGCGTTAGAGCCGTGGCAGATGGGCTGGATTTGGCTGCTGTTTGGGTTGCGGGCGACAATAGGTGTGCAGCCTGGGGCAGAGATGGACACACAGGGCCACGCTGACATCGGGGGGAAGAGGCCACGGCAGTTCCACGTGAGGGTCACGGTGGATGAAACTCCTCTCTCCACACTTGGCTCCCTGGGGAGAAGGAAGATAGGGACGCCTCTGCTGGGTGTCTTCATGAGTCTGTGGAGGAGGAGACCACCCTGCTCAGTCAGCTCTGCTCTGACAAGAGCTCGGTGGTCCGGACAAGCACTCCTGCTCGTGCCTGGTGTGCAGGACGGGTCCAAACAGACTTAGGCTTCCCACGTCCCCGTGCAGCACCACAGCCCCCGAGCTGCAGGCCCTCCCTCTGCTGTCACCGATGGGTTCTGCTTGTCACTGGGACCTCTTTCCCAAGCCGGCAACTCAGCATCGCATCGGGATGGAACCAAGCGAGGTGCCACCTCGGGGCCACAGTTTTCAGTGGCCATTCAGGAGGGTCTGCTCTGCCCAGCATGGTACCGAGCCAGGCACCGAGAAGAGAATGACAGCACGTGCCCCCCCCACCCCGTCGGGCATCCACGGGGATGGAGACTCCCTGCCAGTTTTTAGGGTTAGGGCAGGACACCCCGCTTTATAGCAGAGTTTGTAGTGGCAAGAAATTGCCAACTGTTTAAATCTCCATCAGTGTGCACCGGTTCACTAATGCACTATAAACCATTGCTAGCTCCAAGCTCCAAGACCATTAGGTAAGAAAAGCAGATTGTGCAAAAGCAGTGTGTGAAGCTGATCCGATGACTTTAAGGCCTGTGGCAAGCGTGCACATGCGTGTGTGTGTGTCACGAGCACACACATTAGGGTTGTGCATACGACCTGCCATCAGAGGTTGCTTCTCAGAGGCACATGCCGAGGGCCCGGGGATGGCAATGCCCTTCCGTGCAGAAGGCGCCTGGGTGGGTCTTGTGGGACAGACGCATGAGGACCACCCACAGGGTGGAGTCTGGCCTGGCCAGGCTGGAGGTCCCAGGACGAAAGGCAGAGGTGAGAAGAGGCAATTCTGCGAAACAGCCTCGACCTCGAGCTGGGACTTTGAACTGGTTTGCACTTGAAAGCCGGGGTTGGTAAAAGCTGGGCACCCACACTCTTCTTCCGTTGCAGCTGGTGGCAGCGATTGTGTTCATCAGTTTTGGTGTGGTGGCCGCCTTCTGCTGCGCCATCGTGGACGGTGTATTTGCAGCGCAGCACATTGTGAGTACGTTGTCATTGTGTGCACAGTCTCGGTCGCTTTCCAGGGCTGAAAGACTCGACATGGAAAAAGTAAAATTTCATTTTGCAGAACTCAGCTCAGACGGCTTCATAGTCGGTCTCCTCACTGGGGGGTTGCCAGTGGCTGCCTCTCCTCTCAGCAAGTCTCATTTCCTACACAATGAGCTTCCCTCTCCACACACAGCACACACACCACACAACACACAGAGCACACAGCACACACACCACACAACACATAGAGCACACAGCACACAGAGCACACAGCACACATACAACAGAGCACACAACACATACACCACACAACACACACACCGCACAACACACAGAGCACACGCCACACACCACACAACACACAGAGCACACAGCACACACAACAGAGCACACAGCACACACACCACACAACACAGAGCACAAACAGCACACACACAACACACAGAGCACACACACACAGAGCACACAACACACACACCACACAACACACAGAGCACACAGAGCACACAACACACACACCACACAACACAGAGCACACAACACACACACAACACACAACACACAGAGCACACAACACACAACAGAGCACACAGCACACACACCACACAACACACAGAGCACACAGCACACACAAGACACAGAGCACACAACACACACACCACACAACACACAGAGCACACAGCACACACAGCACACAGAGCACACAGCACACACACCACACAGCACACAGAGCACATAGCACTCACACAACAGAGCACACAACACACACACCACACAGCACACAGCACACACAACACACAGAGCACACAGCACACACACCACACAACACACAGCACACACAACACACAGAGCACACAGCACACACACACACAGAGCACACAGCACACACACCACACAACACACAGAGCACACAGCACACACACCACACAACACACAGAGCACACAGAGCACACAGCACACACACCACACAACACACAGAGCACACAACACACACACCACACAACACACAGAGCACACAGCACACACACCACACACCACACAGAGCACACAACACACACACCACAGAGCACACAGCACACACACCACACACCACACAGAGCACACAGCACACACACCACACACCACATAGCACACAGAGCACACAGCACACCACACAACACACAGAGCACGCAACACACACCACACAACACACAGAGCACACAGCACACACACCACACAACACAGAGTACACAACACACAACAGAGCACACAGCACACACACCACACACACCACACAGAGCACACAGCACAGACACCACACACCACACAGCACACAGAGCACACAGCACACCACACAACACACAGAGCACGCAACACACACCACACAACACACAGAGCACACAGCACACACACCACACAACACAGAGTACACAACACACAACAGAGCACACAGCACACACACACACACAACACACAGAGCACACAGCACACACACCACACACCACACACCACACTCCAGAGCACACACTTTTCACCTCTAAATGAACAGGTTTTCTCTAAAATCTCAGGCTGAGGAATCGTTTCTGTGTCCTCCTGAGGTGGGTCCTCGGCCTCAGGTGGGCGGTGCCATCCCCACCCCCTCCCCAGCTGGGCTCCTGGTGGGCTTCGCCATCTGGGTGGCGGCTGGTCCCCGGGAGCTGCCAAATTGCTTGTCATGAACTCTCAAACCAAACCTGTGATTGTTTCTCCCTCTTTTTCCATAAATCACACTGAAAGGCACTGAAGGTTGTGTTAGGCCTTTGTCTGCCCCACACTCACCTTCATTATATGAAGTGGTAGCACACTCACAAAACACACGTGTGCACAGGCATGCACATACCACGGCTCATACGTGCGCACACGCACACACCACGGCTCTCACACACGCGCACACACTCCCGCGGAGGCGCGTTGTGGGAGCTTTCTCATTGGGCGGCTGGGTTACTTGCTATTCCACGGTTTCCAGGTGGCGGTTTCCACTGTGCTCCTGGTGCCCATGGCTATGGCCCCGCTGAGGGGCAGGGTCCAGTCTCTGACTGCAGTTGGGGGTGTCCCCAGGCTCCAGACCTCGGGTGCCTCTCCACTCTGGAGGGCCACACGGGGCGTGTTTCAGGCAGGCGTGGGAGCCTCTTGGTCAGAAACAAAGGGCCCCTGGCCGGGGCCTCCCAGGGCTGACTTGAGGATGGATGTACAGACGGCACTCACCAGAGCTCAGATGCTGTCGAGGGAAACGTGGCACTGCCTTGCGTGCTGCTGAGGAAGAAGACAGATGGTGAATGACAGCTCCAAGGGTGTCATGTGGGGACGTGCGCACCTTCCAGCTGCTGAGAGAGGCCGAGGACGCCATGCTACTAGGCCTCTGTCCCATGGGGTTGTGGCACGCTGCCCTCCTTCCCGGCAGGAGCCTCTGTCCGTGGGGTTGTGGCACCCTGCCCTCCCTCCCTCCCGGCTGGAGCCTCTGTCTGTGGGGTTGTGGCACCCCGCCCTCCCTCCCTCCCGGCTGGAGCCTCTGTCCATGGGGTTGCGGCACGCCGCCCTCCCTCCCTCCCGGCAGGAGCCTCTGTCCCCTTGGGCTACTCATCGTTACCTGTGGTCTCATGTCTGTTCCCTCAGGGGAAGATAAACACCCAGAGACAGAGACTTGTGTCTGCTTCCTCCATTGCTGTGTCACCCAGAACGTGTCCAGACATAGTAGTTCTTCACCAGTGGTGGCCCAAGGGACAGAGGAGTGATTCTCCTTCTCATCTGTTGCAGTGTTACTAGTGATTTCTAATACTTTTCTTGGATCAGAACTAGGAGCACTTTAAGAAATACTAATAAAACTAAGTGTGGGCCGGGCGCGGTGGCTCAAGCCTGTAATCCCAGCACTTTGGGAGGCCGAGGCGGGCGGATCACGAGGTCAGGAGATCGAGACCATCCTGGCGAACACGGTGAAACCCCGTCTCTACTAAAAATACAAAAAAATTAGCCGGGCGTGGTGGCGGCGCCTGTAGTCCCAGCTACTCGGGAGGCTGAGGCAGGAGAATGGCGGGAACCCGGGAGGCGGAGCTTGCAGTGAGCCGAGATCGCGCCACTGCACTCCAGCCTGGGCGACAGAGCGAGACTCCGCCTCAAAAAAAAAAAAAAAACAAAAACCAAAAAAAAAAAAAACTAAGTGTGGGCAGTGCGACCCTAGCTTATTTACAGGTGATGCAGTTTTGTGGCATTTTAGTTTTGGTACTTCCTGCTGTCCTCTACCGTAGCAATTATAAGCACTTTGCAATGGTCAGTTTATGGGTCTGTCTGCTTCACTAGCCTATAAATCCCTTAAGGGCAAGAACTGTGTCTTGTTATCCTTACCATTTGGCACTGTGTCTGCTCCATGAATGTTGCAGATGGTGGGATGGATTGATAGTTGGATGGGGCCATAAATGGGTGTATAGCTGAATGGTTGGATGGATGGATGATGGATGGATGGATGGATAGAAGGATGGATAATGGGTGAATGACAGAGGAATAGAGGGATGGGTGGATGCAGATGAATGGAAGGATGGATAATGGATGGATGATGGATGGATGGTTGGATGATGGTTGGATGTATGTATGTGGATGAATGGAAGGATGGATGATGGATATGGATGGATAGAAGGATAGATGATGGATGGATACATAGAAGGATGGGTAATGGATGTTGGACGAATGGATGGAAGGATTGATGACAGATGGGTGGATGGATGGATGAGGATGAATGGAAGGATGGATAATGAATGGATGATGGATGGATGGGTGGATGGATGGAAGGATGGATGGATACATAGAAGGATGGATGATGGAAGGATGGATGTGGATGAATGGAAGGATGGATGATGGATGGATGATGGATGGATGGATAGAAGGATGGATGACAGATGAGTGGTTGGATAGATGTAGATGAATGGAAGAATGGATGATGGATGTGGATGGATGATGGATAGATAGAAGGATGGATAATGGATGATGGATGCATAGATGGAAGGATGGATGACAGATGGGTGAATGGATGGATGTGGATGAATGGAAGGTGGATAATGGATGTATGAGTGGATGTATGAGTGGATGGATGGAAGGATAGATGGATACATAAAAGGATGGATAATGAATGGTGGATGGATGGAAGGATGGATGACAGATGGGTGGATAGATGGATGTGGATGAATGGAAGGATGGATAATGGACGGATGATGGATGATGGATAGAAGCATGGATGACAGATGAGTGGTTGGATAGATGTAGATGAATGGAAAGATGGATGATGGATGTAGATGGATAAAAGGATGGATGATGAATAGATAGAAGGATGGATAATGGATGATGGATGGATAGATGGAAGGATGGATGACAGATGGGTGAATGGATGGATGTGGATGAATGGAAGGATGGATGATGGATGGATGAGTGGGTGGATGGAAGGATGGATGGATACATAAAAGGATGGATAATGAATGATGGATGGATGGAAGGATGGATGACAGATGGATAGATGGATGTGGATGAATGGAAGGATGGATAATGGATGGATGACAGATGAGTGGTTGGATAGATGTAGATGAATGGAAGGATGGATGATGGATGTGGATGGATAAAAGGATGGATGATGGATAGAAGGATGGATAATGGATGACGGATGGATAGATGGAAGGATGGATGACAGATGGGTGGATGCATGGATGTGGATGAATGGAAGGATGGGCACATGATAGATGAATGAATAGATAGATGTGGAGGATGGAAGGAAGAATGGGTAGGTGCATAGATGATTGACTGGATGATTGGATGGATGGTTGGGTGGGTGGGTGGATGGTTGGGTGGTTGGAGGGATGAGTTTATTAGTCTGAAATCCTTCCTGCTACCTTCCTAGTAGAAGAGACAATTTTTTTTATGAAACGGTGCAGGAGCCTAACACCTGTGGTGTGGGGTGCTGGGATGCCCTTCAAAAGGCCAAGCACCTGTCTCCCTTCTGCTGCCCTTGACTGATGGAGAATATGTGTCGGCCAAGCCTGCATAGCCGAGATACCCTCCCATGGGACTTTCTGCTGTCTGGCCTCCTGGATGCAGCAGCCCAGCCGCTCTGCAGGGAGCGTGGAGTGTCCCGTCTTCAGTTTTGTCTGGGAGGCTCGAGTTGGTGTTGGCCTTGGTCCTTGAGGCCCTGAGCCTGAGACCCACAGGCCTGAAATTGCCTCTGGCCTCTCCCGCCTGGAGGCACCTGTTTTATTCCATCTGT